TGGACAAGGAGGGAGCAAGGAGGTGGATGGTGGACAGGAGGAAATGGATGGATGGACAGTGAGCAAATGAGTGGAATGGAGTGGATGGAAATGGATGGATGATGGATGGATGAGTGGAGGAGGAGTGGTGGATGGAGTACATGAGAGTGGGGATGGTGGAGGAAATGAATGGGATGGTGGATGTGATGGAAGATGAGGATGTGGTGGATGGAGTGGATCCAGTGGATGGTGGATGGGGTGAGTGGAAAAGATGGATGGATGGTGGATGGACATAGGTGAGTGGACAGAAGGAGGATGGAAGCAGTGGATGATGGATGGGTGGGAAAGATACAGTGTGGTGGATGGGGAGGTGGATGTGGTGGATGGACAGTGGAGGAAATGATGGTGGAGGTGGATGTGAATGAGTGGATGGAGGATGGATAAGGAAAGGAGTGATAGTGGTGGTGGATTGGAGGGGAGGACAGGAGGATGGATTGGGTGGAGGAAATGAGTGGATGGTGGATGGATGTGGATGGAAATGAGATGAGTGGATGGATGTGGAAAGGAAGAAAGTGGTGGAATGTGGTGGATGGTGGATGGATGGACAACATGGATGTGGTGGATGGACGGTGGATGGAACGCAGTGGATGGTGGAAAGAAGTGGATGGAAATGAGTGATGTGGAATGGATTGGAGTGGATGGATGGATAATGAGGAAATGAGTGGATGTGGTGGATGGATAAGGAAGGAGTGGATGTGGATTGGAGTGGATCAAATAGTTAAGGATGGTGGATGGAAATAGTGGATGCAGAATGGTGATGTGTGGATGGATGAGGAGGAAAATGATGGAAATGGTGAGTGGATGGGTGGATTGGGACAGTGATGGTGGATTGGATGAGGAGGATGATTGGTGGATGAGCAGTTAAGGATGTGAGTGAGAGCAAAGTGATGTGTGGTGGATTGGATGAGTGAGCAGTTATGGTGAGGAGGATAGGGTGAGGAGCAGATGGAGTGATTGAATGAGTGAGCAGTTAAGGATGTGGTGATTGGACAAGTGAGAGTGAGCAGTGGCGACATGCGGATTTGGGACAGTGAGGATGGTGGATTGGGTGAGTGAGCAGTGGATAGTGGTGATTGGATGAGGAGGAAATGAGTGATTGGGTGAGTGAGCAAATGAAGGATGTAGTGATTGGGTGAGTGAGCAGATGAGTGATTGGGTGATTGAATGAGTGAGCAGTTAAGTGATGTGGTGATTGGGAGAGTGAGCAGTTAAGTGATGTTGTGATTGGGTGAGTGAGCAGTTAAGTGAGGTGGTGATTGGATGAGTGAGGAAATGAGTGACGTGGTGATTTGGTGAGTGAGGAAATGAGTGATGTGGTGATTGGGTGAGTGAGCAGTTAAATGATGCAGTTTGGATGAGTGAGGAGTTGTGTGATATGGCGATTGGATGAGTGAGGAATTGAGTGTCTGAGTGCCTGAATGAGTGAGTGAGTGAATGAGTGAGTTGGGTTAACCCCGCTTTGGTCAGTACTGCAGTTACATCACGGCATATCAGATGAGTGTTTAAAGAAAAACTTGTGATGCAAGTCAAAACATAATAAGGTTTAATCCTGGAATCAAACTAACAATCACAGGCTCCCTGCACGCCTAGGGGACACAACTAGTCCGTACTGCGATGTGTCAAGATGACACACCGTGACATAGTTCGAAGTGGCGTTAACTCAATCGTTGTAGCTACACTAAGATTGATGCATCCTTGTAGACAGTTGAAGCCGTATGCAGACTTTCGTTTTGTGGGACCCGGGTTACAATTGGTATTTAGTAATCCTTGCTTGTAAGAGGCGACTAACGGGATCGGTGGTCAGGTTTGCTGACTTGGTTGACACATGTCATTGTATGCCAGTTGCGCAGATCGATGCTCATGATGTTGATCACTGGATTGTCCAGACTCGATTATTTACAGACCGAGGCCATGTAGTTGGCTTATTGCTGCGCCTCAAACAACAAAGCAACCAAACGTCTTGTGGGATGACGTTTTGTGAGAACAAAGTTCATCAAATGCTACATTTAACAATGAATGTATTGAACAATGTTACTCTATCCGTATTGTATTCTATAGTGTAGTCTAGCCGTAAACTTGACACCGATGTCACGGTACAAGTGACTGAAATATTTCAGTTTCAGTGATAGAAATGCAAGTTTTTAACCCACATTTAACACGACCTTGTTCTTAATATTTTCTCTGTGAGATAAACTGAAAAAAAACCCCAATTTTTATTGTGAATGACCTTGATTTAGTGTACCCTGACAATGTCTGACCGCGTTGTAGTAACAACATGCCGGAAACACGTGTTAACGCTGGACCTTGTCAGGTAATCGGTAAAGTAGAAAGGTCAATTCCTAAATTGAAACTGTGGCGGTGTAACTAATAAAAGTCGTATACCAGGTGTTTCTGTTTCCGCGTCATGGCAACATTTGTAAAAGAGCGAGCGAGTGAGTATGGTTTTACGCCGCTTTTAGCAATATTCCTGTAATATCATGGCAGGGGACACCAGAAATGGGCTTCACACATTGTACCCATGTGGAAATCAAACCCGGGTCTTCGGCGTGAGGAGAGAACGCTTTAACCACTAGGCTACCCCACAGCCCCGTTTGTACAGGAACATTGTACTCAAGTGTAACTAGATATTCTGCTTTGCAAATTACATTAAGTACTTGCATGTCTATGTATACTACCCATCAAAAGTTTAGACTCACTTAAAGCACTCACTATATGTTATGCATATATGTGTGGTTAGTAGTTACATCGAAGATGAATTTCTCCACTAACTTTGTGGAACCAACTGCAAACTTTATGCTGATGAATTGCACGAGGATCATGCTAAAAAGCATGACTTTTGCGCAAATATCGTGCATGTGAACAGCTGTGTTGAGGTGTAAAATTTTGTTAAAAATTCGCCAATTTTCACTCAGTTTCATCATTTCTTTAACCCAGGACAATAATCTTTTCAACGTTACGAATTTGTTTTACAATACATATACATCACTTCATGTGTAAACAGTACCTTTAAACAGTATGTAATATTTTGCAAAATGTAGTTAGTTTAGAGCTGTTGCCTGAAGTAAGTGGCTATATTTACACCAGTGAGTCTCAACATTTCATGGGAAGTATATATTCGCAGACCGTAATGAATGTTTGTTGAGGAATGCTGGTTCAAGCAGAAGTTACGAGAGCGTTATGAATTTGGACCAGGCGAACCAGTGATTGCTATTTTGAGCAACGATCTACGCAGTCGGGCCCGATGAAATGTTTGAACCCGACCATATGTGCAATACAATAAGGTTTTTCACGGGATGGTTGTTTGGTTTGTTTGTTGTTTAACGTCGCCTCCAGCAATGTATCGGCTGTATGGTGGCGGCGGACACGATGACATGTGTCAATCAAGTCAGCGAGCCTGACCACCCGATCCCGTAAGTCGCCATTTACGACAAGCATGGGTTACTGAAAAACAATTCTAACCCGGATCTTCACGGGTTACATGGCGTTTGGGTTGACAGATGGTGAACAGTATGTTGAAATATAAAACACACCTAACAGTACGCAATATTCCAGCAGTATCACGGCGGGGGACACCAGAAATGGGCTTCACAATTTGAACTTAACAAAACCATTCACAGTAGGGTGCTGCATTGCCCCTGGTAATTTCTAAATTTCAGTTTCTTATTTGATGGCTGATAACTATGGAGTCCTATAAGAACCACTTTTAACTGACTTAATAATATTTTTATTCGTTGTCAGTTCAGAGTTATTTATCCGGGTTTCGAAAACACATTTACATGATTTTTTTTTGCACGCTTAAGGAACCCATCGGTTAAATTTGAAAATCGACATCCACTTAAAAGATATCTGATCCTTGTGGACTTAATGCAGACTATTTTCTGTGACTGTACAGTCATACGCATGCATTGTGCGTCACACGTGAACGGGTAAACAAGATTTAAAAGTTTTAATCAAATATTCGAAACAATGCCATGAAAACAACATTTTTAAGACGTATCAGGTCCACACTCCATTCATGGGATGGCATTGTTCAAAACAAATATATTTGGTATTTGCAAAGCAAATTTAAGATTCTCATAAACGTACCAGCGAGGCCTGTCTTTGGCAAGGTTTAAAAAGTGTTTAAATGAAATACGGAGTTTTGCGGCGATCTCCTGGACATTTTACGCATGATTCGTTCAATTAAATATAACCGCTGGCTTTAAGTGAGTTCGTACAATAAACAAATCTAGAGTGACCTCCCTTGGCTATAGACATTTCTTCTCACAGTTGTGCAATGTATTTATATGTTTTTCACGACGCAATTTCATTCTCTTTAAGTCATATCAAGTTAAACGGTCATAGTTAAATACAAGACTACTGTACACGTTTAAACACAAAATAATACGGTAATTATTATCTATTAAAATATCGACATTTCCACGATAACTGTATATGGCGAAACGAATACTTTGATTAAACAAGCAACAGACTTAGTGCAAAGAGAACGAAACTGTATATATATTCATAGTGATGTACTCTTCCGCGAAGATCACGGTGACATACTGGGAATAAAACAGGGGCAGATCCATGATTTTGGAGAAGGGTGGGGATGGGGAGGTGGGTGCAAATGAAGACGTCCAAAGGTTAGGGGGTGCGCAACCCCCAACCCCCACCCCAGATCTGCCCCTGATATTGACGCCTGTTAACAAAATGTAAGTGATTCATAAACACCTGACTGGTTACATTGGGTTTGTGGCGCACTATAGACGTAGAGGCTTTATATACTCATGCCAATAATGGTTGTCACCCCCCTCCCCACCCTAACCCCCACTATCTTACACCCCACCCCCTCCAATTAAAAAATTGAAGGGGTGACAACCATTATTGGCATGAGTATATTTGAAAATAATAATCTAATAACGTCGCATTATATAACGAATTCAAAATATAAACCTGTAAAAAAGAAGATTATCTCCTACCTATTAAAGGGCAGCCGGGCAGGTTTGAGTAGACGGATTACCCGTGATCTATATACGATTCAACGAAAATAAATATAGTAACTGATGGTGGGAAAGTGTGTAGCCAAACATTCTACGTCGTATGAGTATATGGATAAATATAGACATGTGATTTACCAGATGTGTTAATTAAGAGCTATTGACAGAATTCGATCTAATGGATCAAATATTACACTAAGATGCCTCATCTCTCTGTGGGAAAGGCAATATTGCAACTATATGGTATCGATATCCCAAAATATCGAGGCACGATAGCATGTAATGTCACAACTGATGTAACGTATAAATTAGACTGGATTTTTCATTTAATCGAAAGATCATGCATCATCAGCATTCAATTTGAAATATCGGGTAAGTGAGTGAGTGAGTGAGGTTTTACGCCGCTTTTAGCAATATTTCCATAAATATCACCGCGGGGTACATCAGAAATAGGCTTCACCAACTGTACCAATGTGTGGAATCGAACTCGGGGTTTCGGCGTGACAAACGAATGCTTTAACCACTTGGCTGCCCTACCGTCCCTCGCGTGCAGATTTCAAGTTATCCAGCGTATTGGACGATGCCCTCTGGAATATCACTTATCAGGGCTCGGCGTCCGGCGTATTGGTCGATGCCCTCTGGAATATCACTTATCGGGGCTCGGCGTCCGGCGTATTGGACGATACCCTCTGGAATACCACTTATCAGGTCTCGGCGTCCGGCGTATTGGTCGATGCCCTCTAGAATACCACTTATCAGGGCTCGGCGTCAGGCGTATTGGACGATGCCCTCTAGAATACCACTTATCAGGGCTCGGCGCCCGGCGTATTAGACGATACCCTGAGGAATATCACGTTCCGTAGGGCGATCAAAAACAAAACACCTTCAGTTTCTGGGAACCTCTACTCACTGAAGTATTATTTGTTGTTTGGATTGAAGTCAAACGTTTACAAAATCGTGTCGCTTAACAGATCGATGTAATACTAGATTTGTGAGAAACAGTGTTAACGTTTTTTAGAAAACGTAATTATCAACACTTTCCAAACAATTCTTTTTCTTTTAAAAAGTCAATAACTGAGAAACAAGTAAAGAGAACGTGCAAGTCTCAGCATCGAACCGAATGACTGGACCTATTTCTTACAACGTGGACATAGTCACACTGGCCACACATTTGGTTGTTCTGCATATAGCTTCAACTCCAATGACTTTAGTTCGTGTGTGAGCTAATCTAGTGCATTTGTATAGTCTCATGATCCTTTCTATCAATAAGACTACGTGATGTGTATCTTACGCATAGCCACGTGCCTATTGCCTCAGCTCTGCACGGGAATCCCCACTGCGTGTCAGCGTAAATCAGGTCACACCTGACACCAAGACAGCACGAGCCGTGGCTCATAGCTATAAATAGAACACTACTGATTAAGGTGATTACAGTCAAACCAAAGAAGAAAAAAAATGTACTGTTTCTAACTTGACTAGTTAACGAATATAAGTAGGAAACAGGATTTTGTAGTGATTTAATAAAACGTTGCGGTCGTGTAACAGCCATGCAGCTGGAATATTGCAATGTGACACGACAGACCGTCGTGTGAGGGCTTTCAGAGTTACCTCCCCTGTAGTGCCTGCCTTTAACACACGTTCTGTTGGCGGGGCGCGTTTGAAACACTTAACTCGCCTCAAATATATTTAATACGAGCAAATAAGACCTGAAATGCTTTCACTGACAATGCATTCTTTGGTTTGAACTTGACAAGTGGATGTGATCCCTTAGAAAACAAAATTCTAGGGACTTTTCAAGGTTCAATCAGCAACTTTAAGGAATTATAGAAATACCTAACTATTTGAATACATACAAGGCTGGTCCAATACTCCTTAGCTACATCGCTGCACTGGGAAAGTTTTGCTTTGCGATGGAGATTAATTAAAACCCACTGTTGTTGCAAGGTATTTGTATTAAATATGTATTTGTTCCTGTAAAATCATAACTTGACAACTTTTACTAGAAATACGTCCTTTTTATATGTAATTAGGGCCTTTCCAGACTAAAACGCATTTAGGACCTTTTTAGCTTAGAATGTCCAAAATCCGGGCTTTTTCAAGCCTATGCGAACCCTGTGTCAGTAGGTTTCAGTCCAGATTAATGGGATTTCACTGGATACGTCGTTATTCAAAATTCCTTCTGACAATTTCAAAATACCAAACTTGGCTATACTTCATACTTGTATATGCAAAATATCAACATTAACTACTTCAATAGTGAGTGAGTGAGTTAGGATTTATAGTCACATCTGCAATATTTCAACCATATCGTGACTTTAACAAATTACAAATTCATAATAAATGCAATTCAATTATACCAAAAAATACTGTCAAGGAAGAACAGCACAATAACTAGATTATCACAGATAGAAAATTAAAACTAGCATGTAACTGTAAACTTAAACAAATTTTATGAACAATACAGTATATAAAAACGGGCAAGATATCCCGCTATATCACCAGCAACTGATAACTACTTCAATATAATAATAGGATTCTACTAGTTTGCAAATTGTTGTGAGACGTTTGCGTCACCATCACAAAACATTTCTTTCTTGAATGTAGTTTCTGTATAACATTCCAGACTGTTTATACTTACATGACAATTGCTTACAAATTAATGACAAGATTTAGGCCGAAATCATTAAACATTTAAATAGACTATCCGAATCAAATTCTAACGTATTTCTTGTTCACATTATGTTCAAACACATACTTTGATTCAATTCAAATTATTAATTTACTATTTAATACTCAGTGAAGATGTTAATTCAAGAAGTGAGCGCGTGAGTTGAGCACATTACTGCAATTACTGTGTAGATCAGTTATGTATGGTTAATAACCCTGGTCGCAGAGACTTGAAAACAACGGATAATAGTCTGGCAAATTTATAGTGGAACATGAGTCCAAGCGACACAGCCCCTTCAAATTGTGTCGACTTTCATCGCCCACGCTGATTCCCTAATACAGGTAAAACCCTACCTTTAATACCGTCCCCAAGTCCACCCGCACGTTTGTCAAGTCTTCAAGTTTGTCTACTGATTCACTTAAACTCATGTGTAAATTTCACTCGCAACAATTTCAACAGTAACAAAATCGTGACTTCCGTTTGTGAGTAAACCTTTAATCCACGTGGGGCATTATTCCTGCAAGCCATTATGATCTCATTCATACGAAGAAGTTTGACTCAGGATCAGCAGACCAAAAAAAAAACACCAATTGTTTACTACATGTTGCATGTATGAAACCACGTGAACATATTCGTCACCGTTTCCGGAATCACTCGAATGGAAGATGCAGGAATAGGTTTTTACGTCGAGTCTCAATTTGTAAGTGACTCCGTCCACGGTAGTCATATTGCTATTTATGACCCACATGTCACAAGACAGCACGTTTTCCAAAGCAGTCTCACAGTGGCGCCGAACCTTCAAGTATGTATCACTATAACGCTTATAAAGACAACGCGCATTGGGGAACATAATATTTGTGTTAGAGCGTGTGTAATTCCTTTATGATATAACATTATTGTTACATGTTCAGTGCGTTAGGGTGTCAGGGAGTGATTCAAATATCCTTTCAGTGAATCCGTGATTGAATGAATGCGTGACCCAACATGTGAAAAGCCAGTCAGCCCTCCAGTGACAGTGAGTGAGTCAGTTAAAATTTATTGTCACACCGGCAATACTTTAGCTATATCGTGACGAAAGAAAATTATACGTCAATAACAAATATATGAAATATATCTAAAAGTGTAAAAACCTTTCGTTAAAGGACCAACAACAGGCAAGGTGCAACAACTAGCATATCACATAGTTACAGCTTTTTTGGGAGCCTATAAAATATACTGAACCACAAAAGAAACGTCGCACTGATAGCGGTTCTTTAAAGCACACACTTTAATACACTCTAATTAACAATCAAAACGGAGGACTGAGTTCAAACTTGACAATTATGGTTAACACATTGTCGGTAATCACATTTAGAGTTCACACAAACAAATCACCAAAAATGGTACCATTAAGATACCCAAAAGTCAGTATCGTGTGCCGCCTCTGTGGGCATTTATGAAATCGTTGCATCGTCTGTACATGGAATGAATTAGCCGGTCGATGAAGGCCATAGGCACTTGGGTCCATACTCTGCGAAATGCCTGATCGAGTCCAGCCGCAGTTGTCGGCCTTGGTTGAGGCCAATCAGTCTTCTTTGAATCTCGTCCCAAAGGTGTTCTCCTGGACTTAAGTTCGGACCGGACTGAGTGCAGGCTATTGTAGGGTTTGCATGTCATGTTGTCTTAGGAAGTACAATGTTGCACTGGCAGTGTGGGCACGACCGTTGTCTTGCTGGAAGATGTGATTTATGTAACGTCCAAAATGTGGAACAACGTGGGGTCTTATGACTCGGTCAACATAGCGAGCATCTGTTGAGTGAGTGAGTTAAAATTTATCGTCACATCGGCAATATTTCAGCCATATCGTGACGAGAACAATTAATTGGTACACATAGTAAGTAATAGTAAATTATAAAAGCCTGCCTACGAAGGACAGTAAAATAACTAGATTATCACAAAGAATAATTTAAAAACTAGTAATTATATCTAAAACAGTTTAACTATAGTTGACAATACAATATAAAACCGGGCTATAGATTGCTAACAACTGAAGGTAGATCACCATACTAGGGACCATGGGGACTTACAGTACTTTTGCTTCCTGCATGGACCCTAGCTGGATTTACACCATCCCTCAGCTATTAGCAATTTTAGATATTCAAGCCACAAATTAAAAGAACATATATTCTACGATTAAAAATAACAGTAGATTTAAATTTACTTTGAATGCTTTGGGACTTACGTACCCTCTCAGGAGGACAATAATTTTACAGTACTTCAACCCCCTTTGAGGGCACAGCCACTAACAATCTCAGTTATTAATCTAAACTACCAACAATAAAATATTTAACTATTTACAGATCAGTAAG